GAGCTATCGTGACTTCGATCCTCTCGGACACCAACTCTCCATCTAGAATACCGCTCGTGACACTGACTTTTTATCTCAACCAAGACCTTACATAAAAAGAATAATTAATTGAAAGAAGCAACTTGGTCAATTGACCACTAAACATAAATGGATTAATATTTAATAAGTAAGAGAAATATCACTTCACTAATAGCTCCCCGTAGCCACTGTCGCTGAGTCTCTGAGAATCGAATCCTGATTACACGACATTTGAAAATGGAAAAAAGAGGGAAAATTCGAACGAATGTAGGTTGAGATGGAGAGTTGGTGTCCGAGACGATCGAAGTCACGATAGCTCAAGCGGTAGAGCAGCGGCGTATTTAGCCGAAGGTCGAGGGTTCGATTCCCGCTCGTGACACTGACGTTTTTATCTCAACCAAGACCTTAAACTAAAAGAATAATTAATAGTGTACGTAAATGTTTATATAATTTATATAATACTGAATATTCTAAAAGGTGTCCGTATAAATAAGAAAGGTGAATTGGAGAGGTAATCCGGAACCGCTTCACGGTGTAATCCGGAAAAAAAAGCAAATTTTATCTCGTGGTGGATTGAGATTCTGCCGAATGTACAAATAAATCGTCTTTCAAGATACTTAGAGGAAAATAATTGTCTGATTTTTTTGTAATGTTAAATCTCGCTGGTGTTTCCATTGTTAATATTGATTGAAAATATGTTTTTAATGTTAGACACTACTCGCGTTTGTAGTATTGTTCAAATAGAAGGGATGCTTGAGTAGGCAGCCAGAAGACGGAGAATAAATTCACTCTCGAGGAGCTGACGTGTTTATTTGCTATCTGAGGAGCGGAGAAGAGAAGGAAAATGCCAAGCACCCTTATAAGCGAGGGAGATAATTGTTCTACTCCAGGGCTCGTCGTGATGCAATTTGTCGTCAAAGCAGTTTGAAGAGACAATAATAGTAGGTGCTTATGTCACTTAAACTATAAACTCTTCTATCTTTCCCATTGTTCACTTTGGGATGTCATTCGAGTAGGGGACTCGACGAATTTTCGAGCTTTAATCTTTTTCGCCTAGAATAATAAGTATTTTCAACATGAGGCAGATTTATTTCAATTTAACCGTAGCCTTTTTTAAAGGACACTTTTTTAAAGTATATTTCGCGATTTGAAAACTTTGACGTAACTTTGACCGTGTTTGGAGGAATGGTGTACCTTGGCACCACGACCGTCACATTAGCCTCTTGCTTCTGAAGATAAAATTCTAGAAGGAACAGCTTTTTCGATAAGTTTATAGCTTCAGTTTCACATTTCGCAGTTGGTTTAATTCTAAATCCTCTATTTAATGTAATGTCTCATTAACATCTTGCTTATGAAATTCTAGTAGGAAGAGATGTTTTGATATGTTTATTTGCAGTCATAGTTTCAAATTTCAGGAGTTAGTTTAATTCAAAATCCTTCATTATAATCTGACATTGTAATGTCATTGTGTTTTATCAGTTGTGGGATGGACAAAAGAGACGGACACAAAGCCTTCTGCACCTCGACCTCAGCAGATCTATTGTGCTTCTCTATTTTTATAACTCATTGGCCAGCTTCAGGTTGTTAATCATCCTCCATACCCTTGCCAGCGGCTCCTTACAGTAGGATCTTAGTTGCAGCTTGTCCTCCCCAAGTTGCAAGAACCTGCACCTACATAGACCTTCACAGAAACATAGAATTTATACTACGGTCTCGTCTTCTTCCTGATAGTCTCTGCAGTGTTTCTTCTGTCTGTACTCCTATCATGCATGTACCTTCTTAGTCTGCAGTGCCCTGTCAGGAGTCCAACCAGAATCCTAGTTCTGCTGCGGTTGATCTCTGGTAATTCCTTTGGAAGTCTTACGGACAGCCCTTCTATGTTTCTCTCCGCGCCTCACGCCTGAGCTGTTTACCAGCAGGTTTCGGACTGATTAAGGATCCTTAATATTTGTGGCAAGATGCTAAGGCCACAGTAGTTTTGGGGGCGTAGAGAATTCACAGTGGCTCCTTTTTTGGTCATGTCCACTTTCTGATTGCCTCTATGTCCCGAAGGTCCCGAGACCCCTGACAGGGTCAAGTCATTTGTGTCACTGACTTCTACCAGGGTTTCCATATAATCACTTACGCTTTTTGCCTTCACCTCGCCTGAGGAAGGCCTCAAGTGCCGTGACTGTCAGAGAAGATGGCTATCTTCCTCGAATGTGTTCCTACCTTTTTTGTTCTCTGGCAGTGTTCAACTGCTACGATTGCAAACTGTAAGGTATTTAGGTTTAAAGTCAGTTCGGTCTTAGGATTCATCCCGATGACTCCAGCTCCGTGTCTTTATCCATTCTTTATTTCCATAGGATTTAGCCTTCAGAGGTATTACTTTGGCCCACTCTTCTCTTTATGGTGTGAGAACATTGTACTTGATGATGAAGTTTATTTTGGAGGAATGGTATCGATATCAGATTTGATAAATGAATATTAAAAATGTTTCAATATTTTATTAATCGATAAATAATAAACGTTAACGAGTACTGGCGTGATGAGCTATTGCACTGGCTTTAGACAGTAGTTTGTAACTAATAACTTTTTTATTTATAGTGTCGGGGAATGATCCAGATATTATTGACATTATTAGAAATAAATAAAAAACAAGAGTAAGAGAGGTCCAGCGAATGAAGAGATGGACGAGAGTTGAGGTTTATCCGAATGACTCTTCTATGTGATGAGTCATACACAACTGTTGCACCCGTAATCATTGGCTTTACTGTTATTGCGAAACCATTAAATCGTACACAATGTTGTTTTATTTACTTTGAAAATATATTTTAAGTTTTTTGTTGTAGTTGAGAAGTTGTCTTTTCTTGACTTCGTGATGTGACCCATCCTCACAATAGTATCAACATTGTAGCTTAGTACGTAATCCTTCGCCTTTGTATATTTCATTTGTTAAACAGATTGTTGTTGTTTGTTTAAATAGATAGACCACATGATTTATTTATAACGTAACTATGCATAAGTTGACACGATAAAAGAAAAAAGTTAATTTATTATTTGTATATATATATGGGCTGAGGGCCGGCGATGACCTCAGCTGTTTGTCGGCCCATAAACCTTCCACTTTATATATATATATAAAGTGGAAGGTTTATGGGCCGACAAACAGCTGAGGTCATCGCCGGCCCTCCGCGTGTATTCCTTCTCTTTCCTGTCTTTCTCGCGTATTTTGTATTGAACTGCAGCCATTTGAGCATCTCCATTTGGTTACTGACTCTCTGCTTTTACTTGTATATTACGTCATTATTTTAAAATGCTAGCCTCTTGTTAGTACCTCAGGTTGTCAATTTAAGAATAGATACACAACATACAATACATAACATATATATCGCCACAAACATAGAAGTCTGGTCACATTCACTCCCCCAGAGTACTCGATATTCCTCGGGGCGGGGTTGAACCCACTCCATTCGCGCTAATAACTTACTTTTACTCTCCAGACGTCACACACTCACCCCAGAGTACTCGATATTCCTCGGGGCGGGGTAAATAACCCCTTCCTTTCATGCATAAATTACATTCATTCCAACAGAGTAAAATATAAACAACATACAATACTAACATAAAAGTCTGGTCACATTCACTCCCCCAGAGTACTCGATATTCCTCGGGGCGGGGTAAATAACCCCTTCCTTTCATGCATAAATTACATTCATTCCAACAGAGTAAAATATAAACAACATACAATACTAACAGAAAATTCTGGGCCCATTCACTCCCCCAGAGTACTCGATATTCCTCGGGGCGGGGCCGAACCCACTCCATTCGCGCTATTATTATTTGTAAATCTTAAATTTGTTTTCTACAGGGGCTGTCAACCTGCAACACGTTTTAAAGTTAACTATTGTTACCTACCAATTGTACATTAGGGACACATTGAATCTATGTGTTTTCTTTTCAAAAACATCTTTTCTTGGCTATGCGTAAACGTAATTTAATTATAACAAATAACAACAGTACATAATCTATTGCGATTTTTGGATTTGATTGATAATCTATCAATTTATACAATAAAGTTATTTATTTATATTAAATCCATTAGGTTTCGTGGTCCAATTGACCAAATAACTTCTTTCAATTAATTAATCTTTATGTAAGGTATTGGTTGAGATAAAAAAGTCAGTGTCACGAGCGGGATTCGAACCCACGACCTTCGGCTAAATACGCCGGTGCTCTACCACTTGAGCTACCGTGACTTAGATCCACTCGGACACCAAGTGACACTGACTTTATCTCAACCAATACCTTCTATAAAGATTAGTTATTTATATTTTTTATATCTAATTTGGCTTAAATTTTTGTCGATGATGTATTATTTATATTTCTTTACGCTTTTAATGATTTGAAATTTTTATTTTACGTCTATTAAAAACCTAAATATATGGGGTGTCGGTGGCCGCAACGGTGTAGGCTTTAACACGGCGCTCATCACTGTAAGGTAAAGGTCCCGGGTTCGAATCCAGCGGCCCTGCATTCGAATCCGACATACTTACAAATGGGCTTTTTTTCAAAAACACCGGCACCACGAGGGTTGATATGACTTCTGCTGTTGCGAACCCTCGTAAAAAAAATAATATAAAAAACCTAGCTAACCACAATTTTTGGTCAGATGAGTTTTGTGATGCTGTGGTATAGGAAATAAATCGTGGAATTAAAAAGGTAAATTTGATAATTATCAAATTTCTTTGCAATGTAATTTAAAAAAATTAGTGACATTTGCTCAGGGTGTTGATTTTTTTCTGTCCCCAATTCTAAAATTAAACCTCAATTAGGTCTAGAAATAAAATGTAGACAAGACATCGTTATAGTGGAACACTGTGGGAAACTAGAATAGAAAACTGTAAGAATATTAAAATTATGTGTGTTTAATTATTGATCGATGCATTTATTTATGAAACGTTAAAAACACTTACAAGATAGTCCTGCATATTTATTTAAGACACATTCTGCGATTTATGTATACATTTATTTCATGTAAATAATGTTAAGTCGACAATAAGATTGTCCTTCTACAGTTAATATTCAGGGTAACGAATTAAGATTCACAGGGATAAGGTGTAGGCATTTACATCGTTAGGAAAGCATCAGGTGTGTGTGTGTGTGTGTGAGAGAGAGAGAGAGAGAGAGAGAGAGAGAGAGAGAGAGAGAGAGTGAGAGAGAGTGCAAGATGATGAGAAGTTCGCAGGATTGTTTGTGAAAATTGGAAGACAGTGCGTTTGTATCAGGTGTTTTGGACCCATTATGTATCGATTTGGCATCAAAGGGAGTTGTAAAGGGTGCCATTGCCGGTTGACAAATTTGACGAGGGGCCGGCGGCGGATTAGTGGAGTGTGGCTGATGTGGAGTAAATGGGGTCGGTTATAAATTAGGAGAGGATAATCTAAGTTAATCTTGTGCGAGGGCGTTTCTACCTAATTTATTTTTCGAAAATAACACCTGCAGCCCTGTACCAAAATTTCTATTGATCATGGTTTCTCTTTTCTTTCTTTTTTAAACTACGTGTCACTGTGATTTAAGTTTTTTGACTTGAAAAGTGCACGCCCGTTTTTCTCCGACATGATCCTGAAAATTGAAGCAGCTAGAGTACGTCGGATACTATTGCATTTAAAACATTAATCACTCAAAAAATATAAATATTACATTTCTGATGACCAATATACCGCTGGCAAGCCTAGGGAAGATGATTAACAACCTGAAGCTGGTCAATGAGTTATAAAAAATAGAGAAGCACAATGGATCTGCTGATGTTGAGGTGCAGAAGGCCTTGTGTCCGTCTCTTTTATCCATCCGCTATCTATAGCACAACAGATAAAACACAATGACATTACAATGCCTGATTAAATGAAGGAATTTGAATTAAAATAACTCCTGAAGTATGAAACTGTAACTATAAACATATCGAAACACCGCTTCCTATTAGAACTTCATAAGCAATATGCTAATGAGATGGTCGTGTTATAAGTAAAGTTACGTCGAGGTTTTCAATACGCGAAATTTACTTTAGAAAAGGGTCTATACCACAGGGGAGTTGACGTACCGCGTTATGCAGTCGGGTAGTATTTTCCTTTAAGCCAGATACCCAGGAGATCGTCGTTTCTCAACCAACGGGGGCTTCGACAGCTAGATAATTTGAGCCCCAAATGCATGCAAACTATAATGTAGCCTAAAACTAACTAATTCTATTATACAGTCGCACAAATAAATACATTCATACTATGTACATTGCACTCATTCTGATTAGTCGGTGAAGTACTTTTCTTCCAACGATTTCCGAATATTAGGGGTATTCACGATGTTTGTAAGATGTTAACTCGTGTTAACTCGGATAGAGTAATGTTCAGAAAGATTGTGAACGCCCCCTTCTTTTCTTAGTATGTTTAACGTTAATTTTTCCGCAATGCTGCGTGTGGCGACTGGAACCAAAACTACAACAGTCCTTGAAAGCTTGTTGTTGTTTGTTTTGGTTGTCTTTTGTGTTAAATTGTAAGATGCCAGAAGTCAATAAAAAAGGAAAATTAATCAACTCTTTTATTCGAAATGTTATGCACTCGAAAAGTACTATTAAATGACACGCTTTAATTCGTGCCGACGTACCTAACTTGTATCCTAAGGTCTAACAGCCTACAACTTTATAGGATAGGGGATGTATGTACTATGAATGAGAGTATAAGGACAGGTCAGAAATAAATAAAAGAAATTTATTTGTCTGATTTAATTAATGCGTATTTAAGAATAAAATACGTTTAGACAAAAAACAGCTATTAAATTCATGGCTGCCATATTAGTTACCTACGCCCTGACGGATAGCAAAGTGACTACGTTTTCGACCTAACACCTAACATTGGCTAGATCGAGCAATGTTAACTAGCCGATTCTTACAACTCTACGTCATCATTTTTCTCGATCTAACACGACTTAACAGACTTAACAGGGTTAGCACAAAGATTGTGAATACCCATGTTAGGTAATTTCTGTCGACATACCACTACATATTGCATTTTTCAATCCAAGTAACTTGATAAAATGTAATCCGTCATTAAAAACAAAATTATCACAGTTTTAACCTTTATTAAATGTCGCAGTAATCCCAGTGTGTTTTTACGTGTAGGGTAAAGGAAATACGGTAAGTTACAAAATTACACACAAGATAGATAAATCAGTTTTGCCACATTGAAATAATAAGGCGTTCAACACTCTCAGATCTTTCGACTAAAATTAACTGTTAACACAAATGTTACTCAAATTTAGAAAGATACTGAAATTGAAATTTGGTCGTTTCCGATCATTTTCGTCTGCCGGTCTTCGCTGGGTTGGTCTTATTCTTGAAAATCGGGATGGACGGTGACCGATAGGTGTTTTTCCATGAACACGTAAAGCGCACAATCACGAATAACTCGAAAACAGTTGAGAAATCGGGCAAAGTGGAAAGTGACCAATTGAAAGCATATTAAAATTTCCTATCGATTACTAAAGGGCGACGCTCCAGGACGATTTTCTGACTCGACAGCTCAATTTGAAGTTTTCGTAAGAAGTGCAAAAATTTACGTCTTCCCGAAATTTTGAATTTACTGATGAATGACTGAATGTAGAAAAACAAGTCATCTTGTTCAGTGTAAAATTTTCTAAAATGATAGCACAGGCCTGTGATGAAAAAATGTGCATTTCCAAAGTTGATCTTTTTTTAAATAATTAAACATTTATTTAGTTCTACTAACACTGGAATAGTAATATATAAAAAATAATCATTTATTTATATGTGAAATCTAATTTTTTTTAGGCGTATGTTTTTATATTCTTATATTTTACTCTACTTGTCCCCATTTTTATTAATAATTACCCTAAATTAATTGAAAAAGTGGCAGTTTCTCTAATATTTACTAATGATAAATTATTAGTCTTTATGTATAAAGTACAATAAAAATTTAAAATATATGGTTTTTTGAGTTAAATGTATAAACTGTACTTATTCATTTTCAAACAGTTATTACTTAAAATGTGTAGATTAGTGACCGTTAATCGATAATTATTCAGATATCGTGAGATGCGGTCGGGAGTGATGTAGGTTTCAGAAATACATTTTCTTTATCGTGCCAACGTTTCGATCTTTTATTGAGCCCTGAAGATGATCTCAATAAAAGATCGAAACGTTGGCACGATAAAGAAAATGTTTTTCTGAAACCTACATCACTCCCGACCGCATCTCACGATATCTGAATAATTACTTAAAATACTGTTTTTTTTTAATTTAATTTTTTAATTTTAATTTTAATACTTTTTTATTTTTACCGACACTAAAATAATAAAAAATTACAATTAATCATTTATTTATATCTGAAACCCAATTTTTTTTACGTGTTTTTACATTTTAAATAAAAATACATTCTTAATATTTTACTATAGTTATCCCCATTTTTATTAATAAACCCAAAATTATTTGAAAAAAAGTGGCATTGTGTTTTATGGCTTTTTATCCAATATTTACCCAAAATCAATTTGATGGGTTTTATATATAAAGCGAAATAAAAAATTAAAATATTTTTTTTAGGTTAAAATGTATATAAAATTTCCATATTAATTTCAAACAGTTATTACTTAAAAATATTCTTTAAAAAAAATAATTTTAACATTTTTTTATTTGTACTGACACCAGAATAATAATAAATAAAAAATAATCATTTATTGATATGTGAACTCAACTTTTGAAACGTATGTTTTTAATTCTCATATTTTACTCTACTTATACCCATTTTTATAAAAATTATCTTGAATTACTTGAAAAATGTGGCTTTGTGTTTCATGCCTTTTTCTCTAATATTTACTAATAATCAATTTCATGGGTTTTATAAATAAAGCAAAATAAAAATTTAAAATATATAGTTTCTAGGTTAAAATTTATAAAATTTTATTATTTTCCTTATTTATTTTAAAAGTTATAATTTAAAACTAGTTTTAAAAAAAATAAATTTTATTTTTTTTAAATAGGCAATGTATACGAGCTCAGGCAGAGCGCGGTTTTTTAAATTATTTATTATAACCTGTAAATAATCAACAAGTACAAGTATTTTTCTTTTAAACAATTAAGAATAGAATTAAGAATTAAGAATAAATTAACAATTAAAATGGCAAATATTATTATTGTTGTGTGGTTGTTATTGTCGGACGGTAATCGGTCCTCTGATTCAGACTGGGGCCAATGAAAATTACATTTAATTAAATGTTCTTGTTCACAATGAAATAAATGAATGGAAAAAGGGACAAATATTTGAAGGAGCAATTTCTAAAGCCGTTAAACAACAGTTTCAAAGAGGAAAAAGAAAAATGAGGTGAAAAGAATTTTAGAGTTTATAAGTGACAGGGTCGGTTTAATTGGTTGATTCTATAGGGTGCGTGGGGCTGTTTTAGGGGTCGGGGGTTGCTGGGACGGTGTGGCGCGGCGGGTGGGGGAGGGGAATCATTAGGCCTTAATTGGTGTAATGGTCCGGGCCGTGATGAGTGGGGGTAATCCTTGAGGGGTGGTCCGGGGGAAGGGAGGCCACGCCCACGCCTTCCAGCCCCAGTGTCTCTCGAGACGTCGTCAGGTGCGGCCCGCGGCCGGTTCTGTGTTCTGGTGTTCTTCCATCTGTAATGCCCGTCATGGAGACAGAAGAAACTGAGACGAACAACAACAACACCGCCCCGGCTAGGAAGCCTCTCAGGGCCGCCTCTTGGCACGAGCACGTATACGCCAGTCCGCCCAAAACGCCGACCGCCCACTACATCAAAGACATTCTCGGATGGTCCACCGAACAGCCTTTGAACCTCACCACCAGACAATTCCGACCGCCTTCCACAGACAGCTACAATAAACAAGGTAAATTTTTTTCCTGACTCCTCAGACAAGTTGTCCTCATCCGAGAGTCCGCAGTATTGGGATGGAATAAAAAGTACAGCAATCCGAACACGACTGATTACTGTCGTATTTCACAGTGGGACTTCGTCTCAATGAGTCAACAAGTAGTTTTTTACTCCCGTTGCCGTGGTTACGCGTACACAATGGCCGGCTGGTTCCTCACCGCTCAGAACTAAACCCTAACCCTTTTACGTTTTTCTGTTTAATAATAATAGATTTTATTATTTGTATAGTACAATTAAATAAGGAAAAACAAAGTATTATACAGCATGGAAAAAGAAAATCCGTCTACCGGAGGTCGCTAGATAATGCACTGACAGGCAAACAATTTCGCCCACTTGTAATAAAACTTGATTTGTATATATTTTTATATATTAATCAAAGTTTCACGTTTTTTAACCTTTAGTACTTGAGTCTTTGTCTTAAAAAGTAAAACAGATGTAAATTGCCACGGAAAAAAAAAACGGGCAGACAAAATTTGCTTTAATTTTGTTTTGAATATTTAATTAACATTTCAATATCGCGTATTTCCTCCTCTTGCCTCAATTACATCTCGGAGACGCCAGGGCATACTTTCTACTAGTCTGCAAAAGTCTCCTTGCTGCAGATTAACCCATTCTTTTTTTTTTTTGCGTTATGAACTATGCATATTAGCCATGTGACAATTCGTATATGTGTGTTCAAATTTGGGGGGGTTATTGTGAAAAAAGGGCCAGGGGCAACGGTGGGAATCGAACCCACGACCGCGGCGTGAGAGTCTCTCATGCTAACCACTCGGCTACCGCGGTCCCTTTCCATAAAACTTCGATGGGTTCAAGTGTGCAGAACGGGCTGGCCAGGTTAAGACCGTGATTTTATTCTGTTGAAGGTACTTTTGTACTATGCGAGTGACATGTGGACGGGCATTATCTTGCATTAGAATAGGATTGTCGTTGATTTCATCGAAGATAGGCTGCATAGAGGATAGCATGATGTACCAAAATTTCATCCACATAGCGAGTGGCCGTCAAAGACCCCCGACTAACACAACCAACCCTGTGCGACTCTCCATTGAAATTCCCGCCTACAACGGTTTTACAACGTTAAAAGGTTGGCTCTGGGAAAAATTACAGGGTTTGTACCTTTCATTTAGCCTTCTCCACACTTCATTCCCTACTGATTTAATCATCTTCGAGCAGTGCGTTCAGAAATTTGGACAACTCGAACTTCCTGGGGCTGACGAATTGCTTGAACAAAAGTAAGATGCCGGTTTCTCAAAATTCCCAAAGTCAAAAAACAGTCATCCTGTGATTCTGTTACCCTAGGGCGTTCAGAGCAGGGCTTTCGATGGTAGGACCCAGTTTCTTGAAAACGTCTAACGGCATCTCGCAGAGTTTCGCAGGGAACTCCGATGGCAATAGACGCATACGTGATGGAACGTGGAACAAAATGGCATTTTTAAGTTTACAAATTGAAATTAAGAAAACAAAGATGAAAACTGAACAATTTATTGCTTCAGAATTCAAGTGAGACTGAATAAACATTTTAAATTCCGTAAAAAGTAAACATTGAAAAATTCTTGTTTTGCATTAAGGATTAAGTGTGTTTCACTCTAATTCATATTCTCAATTTAAAACATAGCAGAAACAAATATTTATTTATAAAAAGAATGAGACAATTATTGGGCAGAATTTTCTTTTATCGAGAAAATGAAATAAAAGATCAGTTGGGTGGAATTTTTTACCTGTCTGTGTATAAAGAAGCGATAGTGCCTTATTTTAAAATTAAAGGAAAGAGTAAGAACTGCTTTAAGGAAAACAAAATTTACAGAAAACAATGAAGATGAAAGAAAACAAAGTTCATTAGAAATTGAAATCCACCACTAATTCATGCCAGCCTTGTCGAGCATATTTAATTAAATTCCTAAACTTATACTTAAATAGAATAATATTATATTTTATTATTTGTAAAGTACATAATAATTAAACACAATTAAATAAGGAAAAACATGTATTATACAGCTTGGAAAAAGTAAATCCGTCTGCCGGAGGTCGCTGGATAATATAAATATTTTATATATTTATATTTTTTTCTATCCCTTAAAGGAAAAAGTAAGAACTACTTAATAAGGAAACGGCAGACGGATTGTGATCCATGCCTGTACTATGCTTTGCTAATAATTATTGTTATATTCGTGGAAATAAAAAGCATATATAAAATTAACAAAAAGGAAAATAATGAAGCTAAAAGGAAAACAAAGATTCATTAGAAATTGAATTCTACCACTAACTTATGCCGGCAGTGACAGGCCTGTCGAGCATATTTAATTAAATTCCTAAACTTATACTTAAAGCTTATTAAGCTGGTCTTTTGCAGTTACAGAATAATTCTAGTGTAAACAAACGGCGGATCTCTTACAAAATGTACATTCAGTCAAAAAATGAACAATGACCTCCCTATCGCCTGAATTACACAGAGGACACCGTTCATTTCCCAGTGACCGAGAGGGGGGCACTGTTCAGATATAATAGATCACCTCTGATCTTGAAAAGCCAGCAAGTTCACCCGAAGACAAGCCTTGAGAATTATCTGTAATTAAGCTAAGCAAGCTGTCTGTCTCTAAAATAAGAAACGCGAAGTAGACGAGACTCTTTTCTGGAGTGCCGAAACAAATTTTAATTTTAATTAACAAGCATTTCTTTAAAAATAGCGAGCCAATTGATTACATTATGCGGCGAGAAGAGTTCACATGACAGCTCATTAAAGAGGTCGATGCACACCCTAAACCAGAGTTCACCACGATTAATGATTTCAAGGGCAACTATTTTTGGCAAACGATAAAATGGGAGTTTCATTATTTTTAATAGGTATTTGAAATGGGGTTGCAATGTGAACAAATTCAACTGGCCTAGTTCGGTCTCTGTAAATAACATGTAATTAGGCGTTGGTGTAGGTAAGGCTTTCTTCTGAACTTTCTTATGAAGAAGCGTTGAATCTTTTCCAGTGGCTCAAACCGGGAAAATTCAAAAACGGAAGTGTACAAGCGCTCTAACGACTCACTGGTTTTCTTTTTTTAATGCAATCAGAAATCATAGCTAAATTCGGTTTTCCTTAAGATTTGGCGAACCCCGTTGTTTTGGCATTTTGATTAAAAGTGCTCATCCCATTCTACGCAATGGTCACTGCACAACCTCAAAGAGATTCTTGAGCTAATTGCGGTGATGAACGTATAGTCGTGTCTTTTCGCAAAATTCTTGTTGGTTTAGTCTCTGCTGTTTTTTGGTAGACGCGATTGGTGTGGTACGTGCATGTATAAAAGGATAAAAATAGAGCCAAGTAAAGCGGGGAAGAGATTTGTGATCAACGATGTCTTTTCATAACAAACGCTCAACACTGAAAATGATGGGTCATTTCGATCCCGTATCGTAATCGTTGTCGAACGTCCATGCCAACCACCATTAATCCGCCTTTTTTCAATTTTGTTTTTACACCGTTCAATTTAACATTAAAAAATACAAGTCAATGTTACGATTATCTATTCTGAATTTGATAATGCCGCTTATATTTTTTATCGTTTTTTATCTAAGGTTTTTCCGGTATGGGGTCACCCTTAGATACGGCGGGGAGGTGGATGGGGGAAAAAATCTAAGGTTTTGGTTGAGACGAAAAACATTTTTTTTCTCTTACAAAAATAAATTTTTCATCTCAACCAGGACCTTAGATAAAAATAATAATTAATTAAAATAATATTACGGTCAATTATGACTAATAAATACTTATATGTATTAACGGACGTTTATCTTGATAAGTTTATCATGTGGACGAAAATATCTGAATGTGTCTCGTTTACGGCCAAAATGTAAAAAAAGAACACCTGTTCGTGAGTTTAGCCCTTTTGAGTGTTTTAATTTAGTTTTGTGGGCAATCTCCTCTCCCTCTCTCTCTCTCTCACCCACACACGAGTTACGATTTTTTGCACTGATGATGACCTTAAAGTCGGTCGAAAGTTTGGCAGTAACAACTGAATTTCCTTTTTTCCTCAGGTCCATACCTTGATCCAGAGTGATCGTGTTCTGGTAGTCACATTCAATATATTTTCATTAGGTGTAACATTCAGATTGAGATAGTGAATTCTATTATTTAGGTAGTCAATCAGCCCAAAGTAGGGAACTGTCACTCATACCCAGCTGTTCTGGCAGGGTTCATCAAAAACCTGTTGGTATAATTAAGATCCTCTTTTTTGCTTTGATTTTTCAAACTAGGGTAGCAAATACATGCATTTGTATACAAAGTTGTACGGATTGAAAGACGTTATGACGAAGTCAAAATCGAATGGTACAACTGCGAGACACGAAATCGTTTCTGTGCTACCGTTTGAGAACAGATGTTGATAACGCACGATTAGATAAAGTCAGAAATTTTAGAGATTCGTTGAAGCCGCTGTTTTAAAATACGAGGAAATGGGCCGTGCAGGCTGTCGCCCCGTGGAACAAACAAAAATTCTTTCTCGAACTCTACAAAATCAATATCATCTATCGTTTGACAATTTATAGGTATCAAATGGAAAGTTAGTTTATTCATTATCGAAATCGGTACATGGGCGTAATCAGAAGGAGGGGAAGTTTCTATCTCTTGTTCATTGCATAGACAACACAATATTACGAACATATATATGAATATTATGAAACATGATCAGTTTTTAAAGTTTCATATAAATAATAATAATTGCTGATGAGTGACCGTTAGTCAATGATTATTCCGAGATCGTGAGATGCGGTCTGGTGTTAGAAAAACATTTTCTTTATCGTGCCGACGTTTCTATCTTTATTGAGATCATCTTCAGGGCCTGGGATTTATAAACATTGTTTAAATTATACAAATACTTGTAGGATTTAAAAAAATTAATTAATTTATACAATGCTAAAAAAAAATTAGATAAAAAAATGAATTTATACAATGCTAGAAAATTTTAGATTTAAAAA